GGGGGGGGGGGGGGGGGGGGGGGGGGGGGGGGGGGGGGGGGGCGTGCCGGTCTCTATACCGTCTAACATCCTCACAGGTCCAACTGAAGCGGACGCGTTGGATAGAAGGAAAACAAAGAAGCCCTGGTGGTGTGCCCCGCTAACGCTATGGATCCATTGCTAATTCATCCTGAACTCTCACCTGACGGTAGAGGTGGGTTCGTTGTGCAATATCAACCAAAAGGAGAAAAAAATACACAAGACTGACTTGAACTGACTAGAGTGACACATCGGTAGCGAACAAAAAAAAAAACAGAGCCATACCTGCCGGATGTACAAGTCCGGGGGCTGCATGTCCAAGATGCGACACGCCTCCAGAAGCAGGCCGTGCAGCGAGGCCATCTGCCGCGGGCCCACAAGGATGGAGTTAGCGATGTTGTCCATGAAGACGGCGTCTTCGATTGCCGGGACGGCTCCGCGGATTGCCATCTCCAGACCGGGGAACCGGCGGAGCATTCCCGTCGCCTCCTGGGGCGACGAGATCGCGGTGTAGCCGGGGGGGGGGGGGGGGGGGGGGGGGGACGCGGNGGGGGGGGGGGGGGGGTCAGCGACTTGGCTCTATTGGGGGGGGGGGTACTCTTCTTCAAATTGGCATTCAAGCTCATTCGGGAACATGTTTTGCATGTCTTTTAGCTGTGAAACCGCTGACGGAGCTCTGTATGTGGGGAGTCAGCGATTGAGCTTTTTCGCGGTGTAGGTATTTCCGCATAGCGTTTGAGAATAGGTAGATAGCGCTGACAATATCACGGACAGGGGCAGAAGGTCATTTTTTGGCCTCGGCAGCACCGCACAAGAGAGTGGATGGCATCTGTCAATGCCGTGGGAGGGCGCAACACGGACACACAAGGGGCTACTGATAACGCAAAGGCGCTCAGAAATGGTACACGGCAGCCACGCGCATGCGATTGGCCGAGGGGGGGAGCATGTGCAGAGGGCCACCAAGCATGTTTTGAGCTTGATAATGAGAAACACAGGCAGTCTCCAGAGGCTCAACGAGGAAAGGACAGAGGACAAACACCGCTACGACTAGTTGCTGGTGGAGTTGGAGTTTAGGATTCGCCAGCTATAAGCATCAACCAGCGTGTGGGTACAGGAAGACGAGTGTCGGAACCCGGTGCGGAAAAGACGTTCCGTTATCAAGACATCCTCCCAAGTGATTATAGATGATATATCTCAACATTTTTCGCAAGAATCGTACCCGGATGAAGCTCCGCGCAGCTACATTTTCTAGCTGAGCATATTATCTGTTCCAAACCCTTCAGAACAAACTCGGCATCATCTCAACAAGCTTCGAGATGGAGCGGGTTACCATAAGCCGCATGCCAACGCCGACACGTGTATGTGTAACAACAGAATCGTGACACATGCAGTACAAAAACCGGGGCATGGGCTGCTACCGTTGTTGTCATTCTATGGCACAACGGCAACATCCCAAGCTTAGCCCTTATGTGACTACACCCACGAATGAGCTCCGTTCCCAGCTCCTTCGCTCTTTACTGCGACATTATCGAACCGGAATGAGCCCGAATTGAGCTGTGGATACCTGCGTCGACGAGGGCTCGACTGGACGAGTAGACCGTCGAAAAGGAGCATAATAACGACGGGGACAGCAACACAGCAGCAGTAGCGTCCCCTACACGATGGTACCCGCAGAGACCGGGGTGCTGCTGCGCCGCGGTCTTCCTTTTTCCCCAAGGTTCCTGATCTCGGGTAGGGGCTACGGCTCTGCTGCCCCGTGTTGACAGTAGCGCTGTCCTACCGCCCGGGCTGNGCATAATAACGACGGGGACAGCAACACAGCAGCAGTAGCGTCCCCTACACGATGGTACCCGCAGAGACCGGGGTGCTGCTGCGCCGCGGTCTTCCTTTTTCCCCAAGGTTCCTGATCTCGGGTAGGGGCTACGGCTCTGCTGCCCCGTGTTGACAGTAGCGCTGTCCTACCGCCCGGGCTGCAGCAGCCGTGGCGTCGGGAAGTTGGTCTGGCGTGGAGTTCGCGATGGCCAGCAGCTCATCCCAGACAACACGTGGAGCCGTCTCGGGATGCCATTGGTGTGCTTTGTGCTGCCAAAGCTAAGCAACTTCCTCTGGGTCCATGATGATGGTTGTGATTGGGTTTTACATCTGCTGCTGCTATTGTGCCTAAAGGTAGAGAGGTAGAAGCGGCAAGGAGACTATCGTCCCCGGCCACTTTTCGCTCACAATAGCAAGGGTTTTCGGGACAACAACTCTGATCACAGTTCCGACCTTCCCCCTCTATCTGTAGTATAGAAATTGATAATTTTGCACGATTTTATTCTATTTGACCCGATATTGCGTTTTTTTTCGATTCGTACACACAGACTTTTTATTTCGTTTTGTGCCCAAGTTGTCGCTGGCGCCAGGAGTAAGGGTCCACCTTGCGATGCCTCTCGACGGGTCTCCTCTACGTATGCGTATCGGCGTCTCTTTTCAACCGAATGTCATACCACGAGGTCTGCTGCTACTGCTACTGCTGCTACTTCTGCTGCTGGTGTGCTGCCGACGGTTGGATATTTTTTCGTTTTTATTCCCGATGTCACATTCGTTCGTGCGTGGACATGTCTCGTCGCTCCGAACGAAGGAGCACTGAACGTGGAACGTTAGGAGGTGCCAGGCCTCGCGGGCGGGGTGTGCTGCCTCGGCCGCGGGCGGACAGCAGTGATATTACTAGAGCTATCCCATGTGGATACCCATGTTCAGTTCACAACAGCAGCAGTGCGGGGCGAAGAAAATGTGTCTGCCTCTCTCGATCGAGCCCCCCAGTTCACGCCCAGCTCGTACAGCAATCACCGATGAGAGCCCTGATGTGTGTTGGTCTGCTGTTACATACCAAAGGTTTGTGTGAGCAAGGGAGTGGCGTGTGGATGCGACCATGTGTACTCGAGTGCATTTGGGAGATACCGGTAGNACAGCAGCAGTGCGGGGCGAAGAAAATGTGTCTGCCTCTCTCGATCGAGCCCCCCAGTTCACGCCCAGCTCGTACAGCAATCACCGATGAGAGCCCTGATGTGTGTTGGTCTGCTGTTACATACCAAAGGTTTGTGTGAGCAAGGGAGTGGCGTGTGGATGCGACCATGTGTACTCGAGTGCATTTGGGAGATACCGGTAGGGTGTGTAGAGAACGGGAGACGGTGGTTGAAGTATGTGTGTTCCACAGCCTTGGCCTTGACGATGTCAGCGGTCTATTCGCTCAGTTAAGAAAAAAAAGACCCTCGGAAGATCCCGTCACAAAAGGGTTAAAGGAGAGTCAGCCAAACAAGCGATCAAGAAATGGGTTGGTCAAAAATACACGACTCCCGTGTACGCACCAGATCGAAAGGGTGCTGGAAGCGATCCGCAAGCAGCCCGTTGAAGCGCTTCCGAGGGGCCGCGTTGGCCGCCCCTCCCCCCCCCGTCTTTCGCCCCCCTCCGCCGCCACCGCCCTCGCCCCCCGACTGCGGACCACTGCCGTTTGTCGTGGCTGCTGCTGATGGCGTTGTTGCCGCCGCCGCCGGCGTCGTAGCCGGCCGATCGGGGACGGATCCATTCTGCTGCTGCTGCTGCAGTTGCTGTTGCTGCTGCTTTTGGTCGGGGGATTGCCGGTACGTCAAGGGGCTGGCGGGGGCCCCATCGTCATGTTGTCCCCACCGGGGGTAGTAACGCCTCGGCTGCAAGGAAACCGACATCCCCGTTGTTGTTGTTTCTGTTGTGCTTCCCCTCGCAAACAGGGCCTTTCTCCTAGATACACGAGGGTTGAGGCGCACGGGGAGGCGGGGGGTATGCGGTGCATGTGGGGTGTTCAATCAAGCACCTCAGGGGGGAGGATCAGACACGGCGACGTGTAGTAGAGGCGGGCCTTCGAGAGATCTACGAGTTACTTCCCCATTTCCGGAACAACTCTTGCGGGTCATAGATTCCCTTTGGCATCAGGGAAGCGCTGCTGCTTGAGTATGCATTTCTTGAGAATGGACAAGAGTGGAATCAGCAATATTCTACCAGGACAAGCAGCGTGCAGGCCATGCTACTGGCACATGTGGGCGCAAAGACACAGATCAAGAATAAGAGACTCTTGGCCCCGGACACACATATTTGTTCCAGTACCACTATTATCGCCGCACAGCAGCAGGTGCAAAGAGGCAGGCCTTACACCGCGACAGCTGTCGCTGTGACAACGAAAACAGCACGTTCTCGGACCTGTCGATCCCGGTCCCAGCCAGTTCCTCCAACGCGGCGGTATCCCTGCCCCTCCCGCTGCTGCTTGCGTCGCGCGACCCTCCTGCTCGCGCCCATGGGGCCGAACGCAAGTGGAATGCCAATCCCCCGCTCGTGCTGGTGCTGGTTCTGATACGTCGAGAAGCGGCAGCTGCGCCAACTAGCACCCAGCAGCAGCACCATACCAAGAAGCCGCACCGTGGCCTGAAGAGCGCAGCGGCCATCGCTACTGCCACAGGAGAAATGAGGTGGGGGGGGGGGGGGGGG